ATAGATAGGAAAAAATCATACATATATCATATATACAGACATACATAAGCATATTGAATGAAACCAATTTTGAGGCTTTTATTATAAAATTTTGACCATGTGCCTAGTGCAACAATACAAGCCCACTAATTAATTAAAGAACATCTGCCCAGGTGTTGTAGCTCAAGCCTGTAATCTCAGCACTTTGGGAGCCCGAGTCGAGAGGATTGCCTGAGTCCAGGGGTTTGAGACCAGCCTGGACAATTTGTTGATACCTCATCTCTACAATAAATGAAAAAGAAAAATTAACTGGACGTAGTGGCACATGCGTGTAGTTCCACTTTTTGGAAGGCTGGGGTGGAAGGATCGCCTGAGCCCAGCAGGCGACCATGAGTGTGCCACTACACTCCAGCCTGGTTGACAGAGTGAGACTCCAACTCAAAAAAAAAAGAATAACTGGATCCAAATTGTTTTTCTAGTCAATGGAACAAGATTATTTTGGCCAAATGGCTAAAGGTTTTTTTACTAACATTTGTGGAAAATATTTTTAGAATTTTTTCATTTACATTCTGTAAGGAACATTTTAAAAAGCCAATCTTTAATTCATGTGACCTTTTAGATGCCTCTGTATACCAATTAAAGAATGCATCCCATCACTTTTGTGGTGTTTTGGATCCTTTTTTTTCTAATGCACTTTGCAAGCGAACAATTTTATCTAGGTTAAAACCTCCTACTGTGGCCATTAGTAAAGTTAACCCATTTTCCCCAAAAATACACAGATTCTGGGCCCACAACTTTTGTACATAAAAGTAACCAATGTCTCAGAAAGTGGAGTCCCAGACTCCTTATATTTAGAGGAACCCATTTTCAAAATGTACCTCCTTAAGGCCTCTAACTGTATCAATCCAGTTAGTTATCTAATCCAGTTTGATCCTGGACCCAATCCAATAAAAAGTGCCCAAATAAAGTTGAAGAGTTCAAAACACAGATCTGTAAAGCTTGACTCCAAGAGAGAATTCACCCAAGACACCAGTTGCTGCAAGCAATCACTGGGCACATGGGCCCTGGAGAATACCTTCAACTCAGTTACTTGGTGCTTCTGTGGGTGGTCACTGAAGATCTATTTCAGATCCCATTTTTCACACTGGTCCATTGAAAAGAAAACTTTAAATAGATTAAATTTAGCTGAATTTATTTTAGCAAAGAAACATTCCATTAATTGGGCAGCACCCTGAGCCAATAAAGGATCAGAGAGCTCCACCCAGCAACAGAGACTGGAAGTATTTATAGACAGAAAATAATATATAACATACAGAAATAACCTGATTGTTCACAGCTCAGCGTTGTCCTCATTTGGATTCGTCTGAACAGTCTGGAGCCTGTGATTTGCTAAAGGCTTGACTGCTATCGCTGGACAAGACTCAGTAACTTCTTACAAAAATATTCTCACAAGTTAGGTTGCATTTTTTTGTTTGTTTGCTAGCTTTTTTTTGTTTTGTTTTACTTTTTTAAGTTATATAGTTTACTATGTACAGAAGCATCTTGAGGCCAACTTTAACTTAATTTTACAATACAGTAATAGTAATTATACTTTGGAACTAAGGGATTGCTACAAGTCACTGGATCATTCTGGGTGTGAAAAGGACTAAACAGAATATTCTCAGATAAAGATAGCAAAGTCTCAGAGAAGCCAAGGCACTGCCCAGGGTCACATGACAAATCAGGTCTTCTGAATACTATCTTGGTGCTTTTTCTGATACCAATCCAAACAAACCATTGTAAGACCTGGCTGCTCTACTCTTGGGGATAAGTGTATATCTAAAACTTGAATTTTAATACTGAGATGTCCTTCTACAAATGCTCATACTCTGGGAAAAGGATTTTTAATTATAATTGATAAAGAGTTTTGCTTACACTTTGAGATGCTGGCCAGTAGAAAGTAACTGACTGAAAGAGCATCAGTTTCTCTTGGTGTTGAGCTATTACAAGTTTTAGCAGCCTGAGAAACCTGGATTCGATACTAAAAGACACTAGATGTTATAAACAATTCAATTTTATTTAATCCTAACAACCTATTTTGTGCATGGCTCTACATATGAATCAGAGAAATGGAATAAAAAGGGGGAAGCGAGATTTAAGAGAATGATGTAGAAATACAATGAAGAAGTCTAGAAACATTCATCTAGTGCATCACTCAGTAGAGACTAGGTATTAGCCCTTATACCCAATCCCCAAATCTCAATACCTTGAAATAAAACGAAGATAATTTAATGTATGTATCCATTGGGGGCAGCTCTGCTTAGCATAGTCACTTGGTATTCAGACTAATAGTATCACCATCTTAAAAGTTGCTGATTACTATGCTGAACAAAAAGAAGAGTCTATGGAATCTTGTCGTGGCAAGTATTTGCTCTGGCCCAGAAAGCACGTTTTACTTTGGTTCACAGTTCTTTGACTATAACTGGTCACATTGTGTCCAATCAACCACTAGAGGGCCAAGAAGTACAATCCTACCTTGTTCCCAGAAGGGCAGAAGTCCAAAACATTTCCCGAAGAGCGTTACTGTCTACCAACCTGGCTTCTCAGGCTCTAGGACAATTTGCACAAAGGGACTGGATAGCTTTCCTCATCCCATGGCTTAAAGTATATAATGAATTAACAATAAGTCCTAAAGATAGCAGAAAGTGAAGGTACCACTGAAGGTCAATCTTCTTTCTCATTTTTGATTACTATAAGTTTCTTGCTAATTATGGAGACTGAGATTATATAATAAAATAAGCATGTTATGCTCAAACAATACTTTAAAGTCCTTTGACTCCCCTTATGTTAGAAGCATTCCTGGTAAAGTCCAGAGACATTCTGGTGTGTACCAGGCACATATCAAGGCAAGTATTTTAGTACTGGCTTTGGACACTAATGATAGCCTCAGCTGTCAAGGTATTCCTGACTCAGTATCAAGCACACTTTGATTTTTTTTTTCAGTCAAGGCCTCACTCTGTCGTCCAGGCTGGAACACAGTGGCACAATTATGGCTCATCATAGCCTCGACCTCCTGGGTTCAAGTGATCCTTCTGCCACAGCTTCCAGAGTAGCTGGGACTACAGATGCATACCACTATGCCCTGCTAATTTTTTTCTTTTTGTCTTTTTCTTTTTGTAGACATGAGGATTCACTATGTTGCTAAGGCTGTTCTTAAATTCTTGGGCTCAAGCGATCCTCTCACCTCAGTCTCCCAAAGTTCTAGAATTATAGACATGAGCCACCACACCCGGCCCACATTTTGATTTTTAGAAACACGCTTGAATTAATAGGCTTACTTTCTATGTAGAACTAAGTTTGCATTATTTAAGTATTATCATCTTCATAGCTGTAGGAACGGAACTGAACTTAACAAAGCTAACAATGCTGTCTTTGTGCCAAGTAGACAATAAGTCAGAAATAAGGCAAAGGGTGAGCCCAATGAGCAAGGAATATACTCAGTCATACACAAGGTCCTCCAGTTGCAGGGACCAAGGGTGCAGTTATGCTGCATTGAAAATCAAGGGAAAAGTTTTGTTCTCTCAGAACCCTCACCCTGCTACAGTCCACCATCCTCTCTTGGAGTTTACTGTCTGCACCTGTGATTCTTTCAATAGTAAGAATCAATCATTAAAACATCTTATCTGGTCCAGCAATGACATCATCCTTGTCATCATCACACTTTTACTATAAAGAAGACTCTATTCTTATATTATCTCATATAATCCCCATCACAACTATTTGAGACCTATTTTGAACCAAGAAAACCAAAGCTGAGAAAAGGCATACAATTGTTCCAAGATTACTTTGATAATAACTGGTAAACACAACATTTGAACCCAGGACTTGTGACTCCAAAGATCACGTTCCTCTCATCTGTCTTGTTTTCCCAACTACCTGGGTAATCATCTGAACTTAAAAAGGCTTTACACATTGAATTTTTCTCATGTGAGTGACATATGATTCTTTTTTTTTTAGTAAGAAAGCAGGATTTATTGAGAGGACAAAAAAGCTCCCACAGTGGGAGGGGACCCCAGGGAGTTGCCCTGATTTTTTAAAAAACCATAACATTTGGCCAGGCATGGTGCTCAGCCTGTAATCCCAGCACTTTGGGAGGCCAAGGTGAGAGGATTGCCTGAGCCCGGGTTTTTGTGACCAGCCTGGGTAACTTGTGAGAGCTCGTCTCCACAATAAATCAAAAAATTAACTGAGTATGGTGGTACACCACTGTACTTCCAGCTACTTAGAAGGCTGAGGCAGAAAGATCACCTAAACCCAGCAGGTCGAGGCTTCGGTGGCCATGACTGTGCCCCTGCACTCCAGCCTGGGCGAAAGAGTGAGTCTCCAACTTGAAAAAAATAAAAAGTAAAGCAAAAATAAAATAAATAATTTTCTCTAAATATAAAATGGATCAAAACTCTTGAAAGTGAATCTTTGATGTAGCAGCTATTAATGTGATTGTCTTATTTTATTCACACTCCTTTGAAGAGTGAAACTGATGAGCAGTGATGATGCTACTGCAATTTAACTTGCAGTGTGAGGCAGAAGAGTGAGTCTAAAGTGCATGTCACCAGTCAGCATTTCTCTTAACATTTCACCGTTGCAGTTCATCCACAAGTTAAAATATAAACGGCTAACCTTAGGATCCAAATTCTGCAGAGCATTCCTCATCTCTTATGCCAGGTTCATCTGTTGGGTGAGGTACTCTCAACAGCTCAAACTGATTCATTCTGATTTCTGCTTGCTCCGTAGTTTTCACTATATGGCAGGGCTATCAGCACCAAGAATTATAAGCACATAACGTAAGTAACCTGATATAATCTCTTGGAAGAGGAAGGCAGGGACTGGATTTTTTCTAACTAGTTATCATACTTATTGAGGGCAGAATCACCTTAGCAAGCAGCTCCCTCTGGCCAACCCTAGAGAAGCTATAAAGCTACTCTCTGCTCCAAAGTACAGAAGTGGAAAATGTTTGAATACTTTTAGTGGGACGGTATAGTCAGATGGTACCAAGTCTTCTGTGTACACAGGTAAGTATACTTCTCGGTAGATTATTAAGTGGTTGAGTCAAAGGGAAAATTGTCCAGTACAAAGGAGAATCAGTCATCTTTCTTAAGTACTTCCATGAATAACTTTTAACATGACCTGAGACAATAGTTGGGGGGTGGGGGGGCTGACCATCAATCATTGGCACTTGGTGCAAGTGGGGAGCAAGAGGCAAATCTTTTTGGGAATCTGACTAATTTGTTCCAGCGTGTCATCTTTTTTTCTGTTGTTAAAAGTGTCTTGTTTTCCATTCTATGTGTTACATAAAAATTTCTTGATTTCCATGGGACTGACAGATCTTTTTAACAAATTCCACTCCCAGCGAAATTCACAAGATTGCAGATATCAAGGGTTTTGAAAAGCACTTTTAGATATTCAGTTCCACTCCATCCATTTTACAGATGGAGAAACTGAGTTTAAGACCATGGTTATTTTCTGGAGTTTTCCCTACAGCCTAGGGAATCTGCTGTGGCTTTGTAACTGGCATTACTATGAACTCACAGCCCAGCAGAAGGTTTATTATCTGTTGTTTGTGGTTAATAATGGGCTTGAGGAAATGGAGTGGGCTGCCAAAGGAGAGAACCCACAGAGTCTGACCCCACTCTAGCCCAAGACTACTTTTACCAGTAGTGCTCCCAGGGACTCAGTGGGCACCTTCACCTGCTCTCAATTACCAACCAGCTGAATCTATCTCTGATTACTCCTGAAATGCCACAAAGCACTTGAGGATATTGGTGCTGTCCGTGCCAACCAGTAGTCTAAAGTGTGTGTGTGTGTGTGTGTGTGTGTGTGTGTGTGTGTGTGAGAGAGAGAGAGAGAGAGAGAGAGAGAGAGAGAGAGAGAAAGAGTGAGAGACAGACAAACAGAGGGGATGAGGAAGGGAGAGGGCTGGGGAATACATAAATAAAGGGCTGGATACAAGTCGTACAGCACCAGTGAAGATGGCTTCCTAGTGAAGGCATATGTGAGTCACACTGGAAAAACACTGATACAATGCTGGATTCTAATATAGGATAGTTTGCATTTTCCTGACATCAATAGATGAGGTCTCCAGGTCAATAAAAAAGTCTAGAAAATAAGACTTGACCAGAGTTTCCTAAACTCTCTAGATTCAAGACTAGGTTCAAGTCTTTAGGTTAAGACTTCCAATAAAAAAAAATGTAAGTTATTCCTTCATGGTGCCCCTGGCACATAGTTCCTCTTGCGAAGTCGTCAGGACCAAACAACATAATAATTATTTATATTCTAACAACTTTTAAGCTATGTGAACAAATAATATGCAAATTGAAAGAAAAATATTATTGTTGTTTCATTCTTATTTATTTATTTATTTATTTTTGAGTTGGAGTCTCATTCAGTCGCCCAGACTGGAGTGCAGTGGCCGCTCCTGGCCACCGCAGCCTCGACCTGCAGGGCTCCAGCGATCCTTCAGCCTCAGCCTTCCGAGTAGCCGGAACTACAGGCGTGCGCTACCACGCCCGGCTAATTTATTTATTTATTTATTGTAGAGATGAGGTCTCTCCAAGTTGCCCAGGTGGGTCTTGCTCAGGCAATCCACTCACCTCAGCCTCCCAAAGCGCAGGATAACAGGCTGAAACACCGAGCCCGGTTGTTGTTTCGTTCTTAATCACAATTGCTTAATATTGGAGTTTATGCCCCTACTGAACCCTGCACAACTTCTCCCATCTTGGAACGAGATCGGACCTGACCCTGTCACTTCCTATTCCACTTCGGTTTTCCTGCAACTTGCTTTTTGTTATAGCAATTGCCAAACACCCAGGTTTGCAAAGATGTGACATCATCTCACGAATCACAGCCTTATACAATATTGAAACTGTTCACCACCTTGAGCTAATACTTAGCACGATGCTCAACATTGAGAATTGCTATGTTTTCCTCAAAAATCTAAAATAACTCAACGCACCTCTACACAACTTGTAACTGACAGCTCCAGTCTTGAGTTCTGACCCCCACAATGTATCAGCCTAATAAACTAAAATAAACTGAACAATCTCACTTCAGTAAATTACATATTTGCATTTTACTTCTTACAAGTAAAGAAAACAGTATAAAATCTACAGGAAAATCAAGTCATTTCTAGCCTCAAAGTTAAAAATTATTAACTTTTATACAACAACTGCAATTTCCCACTCCACTTAGTAATTGTGTATTGCTTAAGTTATTTTGCTTGTTATTTTTCTAACATTTACTTTCACCCAGTGACATCTACCTTCCCAATTTTCTTTATTTTGTATTACTTATTTCTTTCATATTTAGTCAGCTTTGATGAAGGTTTCTTCATTAAAATAATAATCGTACATTTATTTTAAGACTTTCAACAAAAACATTGCCAGATTTTTATCAAATACCTACATAAGGAGCAATAACATTTTAAATGTTGTTTTTGCATTTGTTAGTGAAATAACGCTCCAGGCCGGAGGCAGTGGCTCATACCTATAATCCCAACACTTTGAGAGGCCAAGGCAAGAGGATTGCTTGAGCCTACAAGTTCCAGACTAGCCTGGGCAATATAGCAAGACTTTGTTTCTACAAAAAATCAAAATTTTAGCCAGTTGTGGTGGTGTGCACCTGTATTCCCAGCTATTCAGGTGGCTGAGAAAGAAGAATCACCTACTGTGATCTTGCCACTACACTCCAGCCTGGGCAACAGAGTGAGACCTTGCCTCAAAAAAGAAAGAAAAGAAAAGAAAAAAATATCACTCAAATAATCAGTGACATTCATGTAATTTTCAATCTAATAAAAAGTTTTTGTGTTATCAATCACTCTGTCTAAATGTAAAACAGTCATTGACTAGAATTTATTTTTAGTTTTAAACAAAAGGTGGGGAGGAGACAATACTTTTTCTAGAAAAGCACACAAATTGTTAAACTCCTGTTGGTCTCATATAACCACCCATGCCTGGAAGCAGGGCTCCTCACCTGAGAGGGAAGGTGGTGTAGACCCTGAGCCTCTGCACTCACAACTCGCATATTTGCTTTTCCAAACCCAGGGAAGAACTAAAATGAGACAATGGTGACACACTAAGCAGATGGAAATCAAAAGGAAAAACAAAAAACCTGTCGGGAGATTTTGAAGCCTGTTTTGTGCCCTTCTTTTTTCTTTTTCTCTCTTTCCCTTTCTTTTACCGCCATTCTTATATTTCCCTGCTAATTTCCTTCACTTTCTAAAAGACTACTTTTAGATATACATTTCTAGTTTTCTCCAATGACTCTGATTCCAAATATTCTGTCACTTTGTATCCATAAATAAACCCAAAATTGTCAAGGTAGACAGTCACAAAATTATTAAATTAAAGAAAAATCTCTTAAAGATATGAAAATAATATAGCAACGTCTAGTGGAGCACCTAGTATGTCCCAACTCCTGTGCTAAATGCTTTTTATACATTAGTTTATTTATTTTTACAACAAACCTCTGAGATCAGTTGTACTTCTAGTTTTCTATGAAGGAGAAGGAAATTGAGACTCAGAAATATTCAATTACTTGCCTACAGCCATAACATCGGTAATTAGCCAACACCGAACTTCAAACCCAGGTCTTTGACTCATAATTCCTCTACTCATTCCACAAAAAGCCTTAGGGAGATTTACTGTTCAAAGAAGTCTGACTATTTGGCCCACACTGCATCCATGTTGGCCCAGGAAGACTTCTATTTATTGTGCATTTTGATAAGGGGTTATTTGGAGGAAAGAATCTTTAACCCAGGATATCAGTTCCAGCAAAGGTTTGCTCAATTAATTATTTCCATTGAAATGGCTATAAAATGATAAGTGAATACATTTTACCCATCAGAAAATCAACCCATTGCCAAATAGTTATGCAAAACTATGATAGACCGAGTGTGCTGCCAGCTGCTGTGAGAACAAAGGAGACGGACAAAGGAAAACACATAGCCTTATGCAGAGAGAAGACTAACAGACATGGCCTGTCAACCGACAACATATGCAGTCTTCCCTTGTGGGGAACACACTGTAGCTCCTCTGGCAGTCAAGAGCAAGGCTGGCTCTCATAGGGTCAATCTGCCACATGGCCTCCAGGGACTAGCTCCAGCCTCTACTCTCAGTGCTCCCTGGCCTAGAGCCCACGTCCTCCCCTTCTCTCCCCACTGAAGTCCTAGTAGTCCTTCAAAGCCTGGAGCAAATCATATTCCTCTATATTACCTTCTTACTGACCCAAAGTCAGATTTAGCTCCTCTTCCTTCATGCTCTTACTGTAATTTGTACAGATGACACCTCTTTCTTGGTACTTTACACAGAATCTTTTTTATTTGTTTGTTTTGGGTTTTTTAATTTGGTTTTTGAAAATACAGTTTATTTAGAAACTAAATTAGAGAGAGAGAGAGAGATTCACCTCCCCAAGGCAGGGTAAGGGGCCAAAGCCAGGACACATGGCAGCCATAGCTCAAAGAGTCACGTGAACATGCCAGAGTTTAACAAAGCAATGGCTAGAAAGTAAATTAGAGAGAGAGAGAGAGGAGATTCACCTCTCCAAGGTAGGAGAGGGAGCCAAAGCTTAGGAAACATGGCAGTGGCCATAGCTCAAAGAACACATGGCCACATCAGAGTCTAGAAAAACAATGGCCCACAGAATCTTTTTTCTAATTATTTATTCTTTTGTCCAACTTCCCCAGCAGTTTGATCTCTGCTCCAGAGAAGACATCATACTTTGTTCACCCTTTGCACTCCCAATAGCTGACCTCGGGCTTAGGTGACACAGAAGCCACACTGAGTGCTTCATGCCTGAATTAACTGGAGAATGAGTCTTAGGATCTGAGTCCATGGGACACCACAGGGTGTTTGATGTTGCCCTCTGTGTGATGTTAATCCCCTACTGTCAATATCTTCAACAATGTGTCCTCTCTGCCTGAGTAAAGTTGATTTTAAAGCTGGAGATGCAGGAAAGTGCTTATATTGAGCTATGGTTTGCTCTTCAGTGCCACTGCAGGCTATAATGCTAACCCTTCTCTTCACAGTTATCCTACAAATGTTTAAAGGCAGATGTTTACATTACTGGGTCAGGTCCTTGGATTAAGAATTACTTCTTCTGGTCTTTGCTACATTGTACAGTAGCTTTACAGACTGAAGTTTCATTGCTAATTTTTTAGTATGGGTGATGCTGGAATCTTATCATTTGAAGTATTTGTTTTTCTACTTTTACAGTAAAACCTCATTGATTCTCCAATTTAAGATAATGAGCTAAGTTGAAGAGTTTATGGAAGCAAATCAATATGTTGTAAGGAAATCTACTGGAACTACTTAAATAGTGTTAAAGCGCTCTTCAAAAAGCACCCATTTACCATTTGATATGCCAAGTACCAGTCTTCTCAGTCATACTACAAGACCTTCCATAAGGCTCTCACATTTGTTTAGATGCATTCAATTTACTCTTTATCCTTGATGTATTTCACAGAGAATGTATTTTTTCTTTTAAAATCAATGACATTTTTCACCTTATCAAGCTCCCTTGACTCTAATGAATTTTGTTAATGAGGTTTTACTGTAGCTTATTTTTCTCTCAGTGTCTCTTGCTGTGGAGTTTGCTTCCTTCTGTTTTGGTTTTTGAACAGTTGATTTTATTCACAACCTCTTTTAAATCTAGTGAGGCTTTTTCTGTTTTGCAAAGACCCAAAGGCTCCTGTGAAACTTTGTAAGTTAAGCCAAGTTTACAGAAAACCAAGTTTTACTATCTACTTTCATGTTTGTCTTACATTAGAAAACAGAACAGACATATTAAATCATAAGTTATCTGCCTGCATTTTAAACTGCCAAATTACTTTATAGTAGTTTCCATTTTATGACTTTGGGCCAAGGAGTATATATTTTCCTAAGCAAAAATCTTTTGCTACATTTTTGCTTTAATATCCTAAGCCGATATGCTGTAAACATTTTAATTTTAGTTTCATGTTTCTTTATTTGTTATTACCTATAAATTATGTTCCTCTTCATTGAGTTCCACATTTGAGAGACTTTTGTCTTAATTCTTGAAACAGATTTGCATTGAGACCGTTGCAAATGCCATTGGTTTGGGGATAGACCTTTAAAATGTCCTTTTGTCTCCCCCAGGGGAGCCCCATGCATTGCCCTCTCTACCCTAATTCTGTTTGAGGGAGGAATGGTGACCTCTTGCTTTTTCAAGCATGGCTCCTAGTGCCAGCTGTACCCACCAGCTGCTGTGTGGCTGTGGTCAGGTCACCACGCCCATCTGAACTTCAGGTTTGCATGTGATTAAAAAGAACATGTCTGACAACGTGACCCTTTCCTTGTCTGCTGCTCTCTCCAGGGCTAGAGTAGAGAGGCTGGAGGCAGCAATGTGGTCCAGACTGCAAGACTCTGTCCACTAAAGAATCCCATTCCAGCCTCTCAGCCAGAGTCACAACCCCGGCCCCAACTGCACCATTTGGCACCCACACTGTGCCGGGAAGGGGACAGACCAAGTCCAGGGGTTAAACCCATGCCCTGAACATTCTCCTTCTCACTTTCACACACCAGAGACTGGCCGCAGAAGACTCCAACTGAGCAAAGCCCTTAATCTTCCAGATTCTTGTTTCTGGTTTGTGAGAGCAGTCAAGGATGGGAGGAGCTTTGTGACTAAAAAGCCCTGCTTGGTTTTCCCCACACAGGAAGACAAGGCCAAACGTGTTGCAATTGTGGGAGCTGGTGTCAGAGGCCTGGCCTCCATCAAGTGCTGTCTGGAGGAGGGACTGCAACCCACCTGCTTTGAGGGGAGCAACGACCTTGGGGGACTGTGGAGATTCACTGTAAGTGGAGCTGCAACTCCTTTATTTGTCTGCTGGAGAATAGTTTGACCTCCAGGAAAAGAAATCTGTATTTCTTCTGTGGGGCTGGTAGGGCCCTCCGTGGGGAAGGTTTGAACAAGGGTCAGGAGGGGTCATTGAAATTGTAAAAGAAAGCGATAGGTCCAGGCTGAGCTTGGGTGGGAGTTAAAAGCAGACTTACAAACTTTATCCAGAGGCAGAGGAAGAATGTTTCCAAAGATGCCCACAAGGTATGGACAAGAGTGGAGCATCTGGAACAGGTCAGGAAAATCCAGGACCAGAAGAGCAGGGCCAGAACTAGGAGGTCTGAAGCAAGTCAGAGAAGGCAGTGTTTGTGGCAAGAGCACAAATTTCAGCCTCTCCCTGCAAGACTGAGCTGTTTTTACCTGCTTTTTGTTTTCCCACCCTATTCCATCTGTGTTAGAGCCAACACAGGGCTCAGTGTAGGGTGAGCTCCAGAATCAAGGTCCTGCTGCTCAGGCAATCCCAGGCCAAGCCAAGAAAATCAAAAGTCAAGAAGTAGCTGGGCAGTGGCTCATACCTATAATCCCAGCACTTCGAGGAGGGCTGCAATCGCCAAGGAGGGAGGATCACTTGAAGCCAGGAGTTTGAAATCAGCCTAGGTAACATTGTAAGACTCCATTCCTACAAAAAAAAAAATTAAATATACTTAGCTGGGCATGGTGGCACAGTCTCAGTTGCTTGGGAGGCTGAGGTGGGAGGATTGCTTGAGACCAGGAGTTTTAAGCTGCAGTGAGCTATGATCACACCACTGCATTTTAACTTGGGTGACAGAGTGAGACATTGTCTCTAAAAATGAGAGAGAGAGAAAAAAAAAAAAGGCCAGGCTCAGTAGTTCATGCCTATAATCTCCACAATTTGGGAGTCCAAAATAGGATGATGGCTTGAGCCCAGGAGTTTGAGACTACTAGCCTGGGCAACATAGCAAGACCTCAACTCTACAGAAAATAAAATTTAAAAAAATTAACTACTCAGGAGATTGAGGTAGAAGGATTGCCTGAGTCCAGGAGGTCAAGGCTGCAGTGAGCCATGATCACACCACTGCACTCCAGCTTGGGCTACAGAGTAAGACCCCAACTGAATAAAAAAAAAGAAAAAGTAAGGAATGTGAGTGGGAGTCTTGGTTTGTTCCCTGAGCAAAAGAGCAGTAATAGTCTCCAGTCTCAGCATGGTTACAGTCTGAGCTGGAGAGGGGATCACAGGCATGAGGAGTGAGGAGAGGTGGATGCAGCCTGGCCTGGGCTCAGCAGGCTCACAGGGCCTGAAACCAGGCAGGGAAAGTGTTCTCTGAGCTCCATAGCTCAGCCAGGGGAGCATTTGCATCAGATCTTCCAGCGTCCTATTTTCCCTTATTCCTGGCACAAACATTTCCCATGAACTTCAAATGTGCCGAGGAGAAAGCTGTCAGAAATAGTGAAAAGAAGCAAGGAACCAGTTAGCGACCTCGAATTCTCTAAGGGAGAAGAAAAAGACACAGCATGGCACTATCACAGAAGGGTGGGATTTGGAACTGGAACAAAGTGAACGTTTCTAGTTCCAGAGAGGCCACTGGGGCTAACCATAGTCGCCAGCTTGGCTCATATGAAGAACTGCAGACTAAAATGTGTCCGGCCACCAAATGTGACCATCAAGGCATGGAGACTGGGTGAAAGGGCACATCTGTTCCCAGGATTCAAACAGCATGTGTTCCTACAGGTTGGCAGAAAACCAATTCCTGTGCCAAGTTGTTTCCCTCCCATGTCCAGGGAAGACATTACTAGCCAAGCATGATACCATTCCCTAATGAGCCTCAGGATCCCTCTTAACACAGGATTCCAAACAAGCAACACCTAGTCAGAGTTAGGAGCTGTTCTGGAAGATGAAATTGTTCAATTAAATTGAGCAGGGTTTTGGCTAAAGTCATCTGAGACAAAGCAAAAGTGAGCCCAAAGATCAAAAACTGTACTTAATTTCTTGGGATACCAGACAGAAAAAGTTCCTTATATGGGTCACGGATTCCTAATTATTAAGGTTAAAAGTCACTGATCTAAGAGTCAAGAGGAATGGTTCTGGCTCCAGCTGTGCCCAACTGACTGTGTGACCTGTCAAACACCTACACACAAAGCACAAAGCACTGTGGGGGATGCAAAAATGAGAAGGATTACCCCTGCCCTCGATGCTGTCAGGCAGAGGGAGAAAGGCTAGGAAGGCAAGTCAGGAACAACACTATGAGCGTTTACACAAGCGCAGGATCTCAGCCATGTTTGGAAAGCCAGGGAAGTCTTCATCAAAGGAGACAGGACGTGACCTGCCTTGAAAATCATCAACAGGCATAAGAGATTGAGTGGAAGATACCAGAGAGGGAACCAGTAAAGGAAAAGGTACCAGACATGTTTGGCAAATCAAAGCAGCTTACTGTGTATGTGGTACATGGAAGAGGAAGAATGGGAGGGGAAAGGTAGATGCATGTCTAGACAAGGGGTTCATGTGCAATTTACATAGAAATGGAAGCCAGGCTCACACCTGTAATCCCAGCACTTTGGGAGGCAGAGGCGAGAGGATTGCCTGAGCCCAGGGGTTCAAGACCAGCCTGGGCAACTTGGCAAGATCTTGTCTCTACAACAAATCAAAAAATTAGCTGGGCATGGTGGTGTACACCTATAGTTCCAGTTACTTGGAAGGCTGAAGCAGAAAGATCGCCTGAGCCAGCAGGTCAAGGTTGCAGTGGCCATGAGTGTGCCACTGCACCCCAGCCTGGGCAGCAGAGTGAGAGTCTGATTCAATAAATAAATAAATAAATAAATAAATAAATAAACAAATAAATATATAAATAAAGCAATGGAGCTGGGCCTGGTGGTAGTCTCAGCTACTTAGGAGACTGAGGCAGGAGGATCACTTGAGCCCAGGAGGTTGAGGCTGGCAGTAAGCTATGATGGCACCTCTGCCTCGAGCTTGGGTAACAGACTGAGACCCTGTGTCTTAAAAAAAAAAAAAGCAATGGGTAATGAGGAACAAAACTAAGGAAATTCCTTCGTTGTAGTTGTTGTGTTTGTTTTGTTTGCATGATGGGAAAACCCAAAGATGTTTGTAGATAAAGGGAAAATATATGGCTGGTAGGAAATGATTGAATACACAGATCCAAATTAGGACAAAATCCTGGCAGAAAAGGAAGCAGTAGAACTGTGGACATGAGTGGAAGGGTCAGCCCCAGCAAGGTGGGAGACTGGAAACCAGAGAAGAAGGGAAGGGAAGGGGAACATGGGAAGGATATTGGGGGTAGGAAAAGAGGATACACACACAGAGGCCTCAATCCTTTCAGGAAAATATGGTACCCATGGAGGGGGTGGTGAATGGTGCTGGAGAATTAGAAACATAGAGAAGGTCATGAAAAATATGGTGGAGAATGCACTAGACATCAGAAAGATGAGGGAGAACAGTCTCAAGCAGTAGCCGAAGCAAAATGGTGCCAAATGAACAAGTTATTCCACTTCTATTACCTCATTTATAAGAGTAAAATGTGGGGCCACTTTGAAAAACAGACGAAGCTGAATTACTAGGCAGCTTAGGACACTCCACCCACCTTCAGTCCACAGCTGCTCTTGACACAGCAGCCTCTGTAGGCACCTCTGTGATACCCTGAGGTTTCTCTAAAGCCCGACTGGAAACCCCTAGACCAGGTGGCCTGGAAGGTCCTTCCAGCTCTAATACGCCATGGGTCTCCTGAGTCTTTCTAGAGACATCCCTTCTCCACCTTTCCCAGCACACACACATGCACACCCATGCACACACATGCACACACCTCAAAAGATTAGTTACACGTGTCCTCACACTCAAAGTAGGCAGCCAGTTCAACACATACAGAATTAAAAGACCTGGCCATACTCGGTGTCTCACCCTGTAATCCCAGCACTTTGGGAGGCCAAGGCAAGTGGATTGCCTGAGCCAGTGGGTCCAAGACCAGCCCATGTAACTTGGCGAGACCTCATCTCTACAATAAATCAAAAAAAGTAGCTGGGCGTGATAGCACACGCCTGTAGTTCCAGCTACTTGGAAGGCTGAGGTGGAAGGTTTGCCGGAGCCCAACAGGTCAAGGCTGTGGTGGCAGGGAGCGTGTCACTGCACTCCAGTCTGGGCGACAGAGTGAGATTCCAACTCAAAAAAACAAAAGAATCAAAAGGCCTGCTCTAGCCAGACTGTGCTTGCCAGCAAGTACACAAGGGGAGTCTCTCAGTGCCTCAGGGTGGAAGGGGATAGTCTGGAAAAGTGGACAGATAAATGGCAGAAAACCAGCAAAACACAGGGAGAGACAGTTCTCATTTCCGAGTGGAGAAAAGATCCTAAGATTATAGAGATTATCAGTCCCTGCACTTCATTGAACACTTGCCAGGGCAAGACTCTGGCCTCTCCCAGCTCCTACAGCCTTCAGGAAAGAGAGAGTAGACAAAGGCTGTGATGGAAAAGGAAGGATGTCATACACCGGGGAGGGGTCAGGTGGCAGGCACTGAAAAAAGATAAACCGACCAGACACAGTGGTTCACACCTGTAATCCCAGTACTTTGGGAGGCCAAGGCAACAGAATTGCCTGAGGCCAGGAGCTCAAGACCAGACTGAGGTATGAACATCATGTGAATAGGAAGGCCTCTAATTAGGAGTGACTTTTGTCATAATTTCACATCTATTTTTAAAATGAGGAGGAAAAGATTTTTTACTTGATTACACATTCTTCCCCTTGGCTACACTCCTCCCAGAAGGTCACAGAACTCAAGCAAGTAAATCTAATAACAGTTAACAGATATAGATAACACAAATAATAGGTAACCTATTGAGAGTTTGCCAGGAACAGCTTGTGGGGACAGCATATTGGTTATTGTTCCAGTGTATCCAAGGGGTTTTGTACTACTGTTGTTCCACATAGAGATAAGAAAACTGAGGCACGGATAGGTTGAGAGAATCCCCAAGATCACCCACCAAAAACACAGAGCTTGGGAATAAACGTGGGCAGTCTGACTCTGGGGCCTGTGCTGCTAAGCTACAGTGCATGCATTTCAGGAGTCTGGTTCACAATGCAAGAATCGGACAAACCCTGGACGGAGTCTCAGGGAGTCCTACCATGTGCCCTAGTGGTGATGGTAACTTTCCCACTGTGCTGCAGGACCAAGGGAACCAGAAAGCAGAAACCCCTCCGTCCACATTCTGATTCTTTTCCCCTCTCCACAGACCATCCTCTCTTTCCTCTTCTCCCCTCACTCACTGCAATCTTCATGAAACAAAAATCTTCTCCTAAGTGGCCCATCAATGTTCAGGGACATGTGATTCCACACTGGAAGCCCCTAGGCAATCAGTGGATCCAGACAGGGACGATGCCCTGAGGTTCCACAGCTGGGCGCTGGGAGTGTGCTTAGGTCTGGGAACTGGGCAGATTACTCTCTGAGGCAAGTGCTGGAAGAGGACGGGAGACCCACCAGCACCATTCAGAAGGGCGTGGGCTGTACTCTCTGTACTTATGCTCAATACACCAGACCTTTTACTTTCCCAGGAGAAACAATCAGTGAAGGAAAGGGAGACAAGAGCTAGGAGTTGGTCTTCGATTCTACCCTAGGGTTTTTTCCTCACTAAACTACTGTTTCTCATCTGCCAGCATCCGGAGTACATTATTTCACAAAAGGCTTCAGTGTTTCCTGGAAGCTTTTCTCAGTCTAGCCTTTACAATTATCTTCTTAAGCTTTGCAGAGAGGTTTTTTCCCCTCTTATTTTTGTTTATTTGCTTTAAGATCTCATAAAATACATAGTTCCCAGTTCATTCAGTTCCCATGAGTCCCCATTACTCTTTGATATTTAAACATACCATTACAATATGCTTTAAATGTTTTAGAACTGTTTTTATGGAACTCTTTACAAAGTGTAGTATGTGTATCTCTAGCCCCTTAAAGACAAAGAGAGAGTGTGTGTGTGCATATGCGTACTTGTTAAATTTATCCTCGTATTATTGTTTACGAGAAATTGAGTCTATTAACAACAAAGTATTACTTACTATGTGATGTCCTTGGATGCCACAGAAAAGTGAGGGAACTTTGACCCTCCACTAATATAACTCAAAATGTTTATAAATGACGTTTTCTGCTTATACTGTAGTTCTTTCCTCACCGCTCTCACTTATCTGTATTACAGCTCTTCGTAGCTATTCTCTTTATTCCCATAACCCAGAGGAAAACTGAGAACTGCCCTAACTAAATCAAAACAACTTTACATTCAGTTCTAATGCCCACTTTCAGGTCTAAGGATGTTCTAAAACTGTGCTGTCCAATAAGGTAGCCACTAGTCAGACATAGCCAGGGAACAATTGAAATGTAGCTGGTATGACTAAGAGGCTGAATTTTTATCTCATTTAAGTTTAATTTTATATTAAATTTAGTTATTGTAGAACATTTCAGTGTATTTGAATCATTTGGGTATGTGAATCCACTTTTCCCAATGAAAATGTACTATTTGATTTAGCATTTGATTGCAAATACACACCAGATTTTGAAGACAGTATGAGAAAAAGAATGTAAACTAACTCGTTAATACTTTTATATTGGTTATGTGTTAATATCGTATTATAATATCATAATTATAACTTTATAATATTTTAGGCATACTGAGTTAAGTAAAGTAAAAGCTTCTCACTCAAAGAATGGCCCCAGAATGGCAGCACCTGCTCAGGAGCCTGCTGGAAATGTAAACTCTCAGCTCATCCATCCCCTGAGTCAGCAGCTCCCTTCCTATGAGCCTCCCTGGCAATTCTTAGCAAAACTAAGAGGCACTGGTCCAGAGAGCTGTGCATCTCAAATTCCGGAAAACACCGGGTCTTTTTAAATTTCCAATTAATTATAGGCTACTGTCAAATATAAAAATGAATATTACAAAAATAAAAGTGACACAAAGAAACATGAACAAAATATCAATTCAAAATCTATAAAGTATAAAGTCAGAAGTCACAAAATCAACTTCAATAAATGCCATTAAACAACACAGAAATAAGAGAACATAACTACAAAAAAATGGACATATTGTTCTTTGAAAGTGTGCACACAGGCACTTAATACAGAGAATCACCACTACACTTGCAACTTTTTTGTTTTGTTTTGTTTTTTGTTTAGAGACAGAGTCTCATTCTGTCGCCCAGGCTGGAGTGCAATGCAGTGGCATGGTCATAGCTCACACAGCTGTGACCTCCCGGACTCAAGAAATCCTCCCACCTCAGCTTCCCCAAATGCTGAGATTACAGGCATAAGCCACCATGCTCGGCCTACACCTGTACCTTTTTGCCAAACAAGCAAAAGTTTGTGTGAAACAGCAGTTCTCCATATTAAACACCTGTAGGCACACTTTGAAAGCACATTGTTTATGTTACTATCTAACGTTTTCGATGTAACAATTAAGCTTGCTACTTGCTTGTCACTTTACCCAATCTGGAATGGATGAATGACAGTGTGCTTTGCAGGGATAATATATCTAAACTATTTCTAAATATTGCTTAATAGCACTCAAAGTAGAGAAAGGAGGCTCACTGAGTTATGTTGATTGAAATGGAGGAAGAGATTTTAAAGCAATCACAGCAAGTTCAAGGTATTTTTTTTTAAAAACTGCTATCCAAAGGGAAGTAGATAGTGTTCTATCTTTAAAATTTATCATTACTCTTATATCAGTAGCCATTTCAAGTAGTTTATACTGGAAGATTATAGCTAAATATAAATTATCTTCCAATGAAAGACAATGATTCCAGACTTTATGTATCTTTGGATAACAGTTTTCAAACTAACCTTAAAACATGGTACACTGCAATGCAGTCCTACAGCTTGTGATGAGTACACAGCTCAAACTCATCATGTAAGTTAGATAAAATCGAGACTGGTCTATACCCTGTTCAACAAAAAAGAGTTCACATGATTGGGTCTTTAGCAATGTCGAGGTATTGCTATAAAATTCTCTAAATGCTTACTCTCAGTTTTTGTATTGATCTTGCAATAGACTAGTAATAAACAGTTCATATCAGTACTGCTCTGCAGACATTTGATTAGCACCACTTTAGATATTCCAGCAGAATAAAAGATCAAGATTTCAATCTTCATCTTTCTCAGAAGCCTTTTAACTTCCAGTTTTTTAAGATATATTCTGGATAAGTGGGTTTGTCGGATGTGGGGTCACAGATAAGCAAGTCATAGTCAACTCCTATCAAATGATAAGTAGCATTAATTTAAGACATAGAAATATGTTTATAATTTCACTCTCTATGATTGCTGTACAGTTCACCCAGATATAGATTCATCTCCTTTGGGGAAACAGGGAAAGCCCTCTCCATATGTGAGGTGTATGCTGATGTTTCCACTGGTTAACATAAATCAAATAATTTTTACTTCACGGACGAAAGAAATTATACATATCCAAGATGGTAAATAATATTAAAATACTAAGAACTTTTCCATTGAAATCAGGAGAACAAGCCAGGCTCGGTGACTCAGCCTGTAATCCCAGCAATTTGGGAGGCCAAGGGAAGTGAACTGCCCGAGTTCCCGGGTCCAAGACCAGCCTGAACCACTTGGTGAGACCTCGTCTCTACAATAAATCAAAAATTATCCGGGCATGGTAGCACACACCTGTAGTTCCGGTTACTTGGAAGGCTAAGGTGGAAGGATCGCCTGAACCCAGCAGGTCGATGCTGGGATGGCCATGAGCGTGCCACTGCACTCCAACCTGGGCGATAGAGTGAGACTCCTACTCAAAAAAAGAAAAAAATCAGAATAAGCTTCCATAATACCACCTAAAAGACAAGCAACACATGTTAAAGACATTACTAAAACTGCTTATTATCATCCTTATGGCAGTCTTGAGATGTTAACATTTGCTAGTTCTTTGAGCTGAACATGGTTAGGGTTATGCCATGCACACACCTGCCCAGTTTGCTTCCTCCCGCAGTGCAGTCCTGTGTTATCCTACCTGACTGCCACCTTGCAAATCCCACCTCTGGGTTCTTACTGTGATGGCCTCTGCTCAGGCCCTCATTAGCCATCAAGTGGATTCGTGTTCTAGGCTCTGAACCAGTCTCTTCCTTTTCAGCTCCCTCTGATACATCTTTTGTAAAACCAGAACTATCTTTCCAAAATTTAACATGAATCACTTTCATGTTTGAAACGTTCATTAGACTGCCAAAACTCTCCTATAAAATCCCAATTCCTCCAGTTTGGATAAAAAGTCCTGCATATCTGCAATCTTCTTCTCTGTGATTATCTCAAGGATACCCCTGAAGCCAAAGTACTTAGCAATCACCCTTCACCCAACTACCACTTCCTGGCTTTCCTCTGTTTCTATGTTCTCCTGTTCTGTTGTAGCAAGTGTTATAGCTCACCAGGAACAGGAACAAACAGAGTGTTGCCACGCTCAGAACAGGCACTGGAGACCGAGTGGAGAATTGAGAGCATTTATTCAGGAGTCTCAGGCGGAGTAATCGCCCCAAAAACCTGAACCCCAATCCTCAGTTACAGGCTGCTTTTATATACGTTCAGTGAACCTTATTGTGAATTTTCGGGTGTAACAGGACTGGGGCTGTATTAGCAGCCCCGGACTTTTGTCATTGATGGTTTTATAATTTTAAACTGAGGATCATGAGCAGGTACTTTCACAGCAAACATCACAGTAAACATGTTGACATGGGTGTAGCAAAGTATGCTTACAGAAGCAGAAGTGGCGGTTAGGGCAGCTGCTCATTTGAGATAGAGCTCGTAGGGTCTGGCTTCTTGATTAACTCTTGCTTTCCTGTCTCAGTACTTTGAAGGGATACTGTGTGAATCTGGACAGGTGAGTTCTCCCTGAATTTATATCTTAACATGCAGTGAATGCTCAGGTATGTGCACTGTTTGTACAGGAAAATGTTGAGGAAGGCAAAGTCAGTCTCTACAAGTCTGTGGTTTCCAACAGCTGCAAGGAGATGTCTTGTTACTCAGGTTTTCCCTTCCCAGAAGATTATCCAAACTATGTGCCAAATTCTCAGTTTCTGGAATATCTCAAAATGTATGCAAATCATTTCAACTTTCTGAAATGCATTCAATTCAAGGTAAGACACAAAACATCAGTTAGTAGCCAGAAAACTTTTCCTACCTATTTTCTGTTACCTCTCTACAGTCCAGCCCTGAGATACTGAACCAGCAAAACTAATGACACCCTGCTAGATTCCTTTTCTCCTGGTGTTCTTCCTCTACCCCAAGTAAATCTGGAAGTGGGATGGGTACCTTGTATAAAGACTCACAAGCATCAAATCTTAGTTTGCAATTCTTACATGCAAGTCTACTAAGGGACTTAAAAATATCAAGCCACATTTTCAGCTTGGGCCAAATGCACATGGGGAAAGGGACACTGAGAACTCCTACCAGCCTCTCGGGTCTTTCTTTCCAACTATCTCTTCAGAGGAATGGGCATGTGCAATGGCCCATATACAAGAGAGCCTCGCTGTGTAAAGGAAATCCTTTCCCGATATTCTTGGGAATAAATTGGGCTTCTCCTAGGCCCCCTTCCTTTTCCATTTCAGAGATTGGATACAGGAGGAAGGCAAAGAACAGGGGCAAATGAACATGTCCTTTGTCCCCTCTTTTTTCTTTTTTTGCTCCCTTTCTAGGAAACACATGAAAATCTTCTCCTACCTCTCTCCCCTATCAGAGTTGCGGAAGATGATGATTTCATACGGAATTATGCACAGAAAGCAACACGAATGGAGATGTCAACCAAAACAAGGGGCAAGTAAGACTCACAGTCCCATCTTAAGAGTCCTTCTAAACAGATTTCCAAGGAATAGTTCATCCCACTTCTTTATTTTTCAAAGGACACAGCAAAAATAAAGCATGATCATTGTGAATGGCTATAACCCACAGAAATATTTTTTAAAAACACACCAGAATTTCTCAGTCTGAAGCATTTCCTTTACTACATGCTGCCCAAGACCATTTTAAGACAATTTTTTAAAAAGCTATGTATTCACAAAAGTTTCAAAAAGTACACACAAGCAGCTGTCTCTAAGAGGTGTATTGTGGTTGGCTTTTGTTTTTATTTCTCCCTATGCATTCCAAAATTTGAATGGTGAACATTTATTATTTGTATTATTAAAATAAATTTTTGAGATAAATAATTGCATAAATTTTATTTTGAAAGGTTTAAAATTAACTGGAAGTTTGTTTTTAGAAAAAATAGAGTTACTAATGCAAATGTAGAAATCCAACAAGCACTTCAAATACAAACCAAACAATGAACTCACTAAGAAGGACTCAAGAAGCCTATCACTGGAAAGGAAAGAAAGGCAGCAAAGTTTCTTGGTTAGTGAATAATTTATGCTTTCAAATTTGACTTATATTAGGTTGATTGTACATATATTTATCAAATCAAAATCTAGTACTGGACAGGTGCAGTGGTGTGCTCTTCTAATCCCAGCTACTTGGCAGGCTGAGATGAGAGGATAACTTGAAGCCAGGAGTTTAAGACCAGCCTGGGCAACATAACTTGACCCTATCTCCACTCCAACCCCCCCAAAAAAAAGACAAATAAGAAGGAAAAGACTATTTGAAATGTGGTGAACCACTCCCAACAAATTCAAACCATATGGTTAGACTTTATAATACCTCTCTAGTTCTGGAAAACTTCAGTAACATATTTTACAAAACCTCACAAGCTAAGACACTTGGGATCAGCTCATGTTTTCAAATGTGTAGTATCCACATCTCTACTAAATGAACCAATGTTAAAGAGACAGCCCTGTGAGAAATAAGGTTGCATAATGGAAAGAATAATGAGAAAGACATCAGAAATCTAGGTTATATCCTGGTTCTATCACTTGCTGTGAACAGTTGAGCAAATGACTTCAAACCTTTGGATGTCAACACTTCTGTTAGGTACCCCTCCAAGCTTAGGATACTTCCATCCATTAAATCATGACTAGCCTGATCATCTGATTAGGGTTCTAGGGTTATGCTTATTAATTACGTTTAGTCTGTGTTCTACAATTGTTGAAATATCAACTAGTACATCAACCAGTAAGTCCTTAATGAAAACGAGACAACTGATAATCCTGTCTGTGACTCTTTTTTTCAGACCAGAGTCTGCAGTGTAACAAAATGCCCAGATTTTGCTGTCTCTGGCCAATGGAAGATGGTCACTCTCCAGGAGGGGAAGCAAGAATCTGCCATCTTTGACACTGTCATGGTCTGTACTGGTTTTCTTACTGACCCTTATCTACCACTGGATTCCTTCCCAGGTACAGCATTTTCTCCAACTAACCTTAAGTTTCTTCATGGGAGCCATCTTGATCTAGGAGTGAATTTCTATGGTTGTTCCATTAAATAATTCATTGTGAAGTAACAAGAGTTGTTTTCTAACTAGCCCTCTGTAGCCAGTTTTTAGTTTTCATTTGTTCCAAACAATTTGTGAGTAGAGAAGAGCAAAATGAATAACTTAGGAAGCAATTTTATGCTTCACTGAGCTTCAGAGTCCCTCCTTAAGTGACTGGCAGCATCCAGAATGTGCTCCAGGACATGGGATGCTTAGAAACATTGCTAGCTTCAGTAACAGCTGCACATTGCCCAAAATGAGCTTAGGGACTGCAAAGGTCAACTGTGAATAAAAGGAGAAAATAATTCAATTTTTTTCCATTTATCTGTTTTATATGAGTAACAGCAATTAGCTAGATCAGAGGCTTATGGTACTGGGTCAATAGAAAGCAGGGAGATTAGTCTTGGGAGGCAAGTTAAGTCATCTTTGGGTCTCAGTTTCTTTATCTGGCCTTTGCAACCATGATTCATGTTCATCTATGCTAACTTTTAAATGGATTTCAATTCAATATAATAGACAATGCAGTGGTTTGGTTTATTTCATCTTCAGTGAGTATTCAAAAAGTTAAAACATGAAGAAATTTTTCTCTGTCATCTAGAGATGGCCAGGAGTAATCCCAAGGTCTGCCAATAGATGCACGTGCCTTCGATTGTCCTGAATCTGCCCCTAAGGTCACTCAAATCAGGTCCAATTAGGATAAAGCATATCCTGAAAACTGTCATAGAATGGAATCATTAAATTGGAAAGAACCACGTTTAGTCTTCTTCCCAATGCAGGAAATAACTCTCCAACAACTCTGAGGGACTTGATGACCTCTGCTGGCACACATTCAGTGGCAGACTCTTATCTTCACACAAGACAACCCAAACCCTTTGTCAGTTGTTGGCTGCAGAGCAAAGCCCTGAGCTGCCATCCACTCTAAACTCCAAGGAAGAAGTGCTTGGTCACTCCAAGAATCCAGAAAGTTCCTTGGCATAGGGAGTAAACTGTACTCACTCAGCACTTACAGTATATCACTAGGTGCTAAGAATATAGAGGTAGATAAGAAAACATGTAGCCTGTACTGGAGGAATGAAAAGAGTTTTATGGAGTCCAGTGAGGAAATCACTGTATACATATGATGTGGAGTGATATCAATCCTCATCTTACAGTAAACTCACATACTTCCCATGGACCTGCATCTGTCTCCCAGAAGTTAGACAAGTCATGTCAGATTAAGATAAAGGAAACCCTGAAAGCAACTGAGTCAATGACTCAGTTTGCATAGATGAGCGTGAGACCCAGGATGCATGAACTGCCCAGTTTATAATCTTGATCTCCCACTTAATCTTTCTAAGCCTCTGTCTTTTCACCCACAAATTGAGGAACTTGAATCACTTTGCTCAATGGGATGCATCACAAATCAAGCAAGAAGAGTTCTTCAAAATTTCTTAAAATCTGTCATACCAGCCGCTAACAATTTGAAATCCCTGGCTAAATAAATTTTAAGAAGTCTCTGAACTCTAAAATTCTGTGATTTTAGACTTGAAAAGGAGTTCTCCCAACCACTCCATCTTCCTCCTCGTCTTGCAATAGACTTGTTTAGTCTGCACACACTAGGAGTATGTGGATGGGTGCTGTCACAAAAATTCAAATTCATCTAAGTTATACAAAAATATGTCGCAAGCTCTAGAAGCAATTCTAAAGGAGGTGTCTCTAAAAGTCTTAGTAAAATAATAGGTATCACTGGATAAATGTATAATTTCCCAAGATGACTAATTTTTTTTCATTCAGGAACATACATTCTGGTCTTTAGTGTTTATTAACACAGTCACATTCACCTAATGGAAGTTCATTCTTTGTCCTCCTGTGAAATAAGAGGGGAAAGTATACATCTAATAAGAGACATAGCCACAGAGTGTCATTTTTGTCCATTTGTGACCCAAAGCAGCCTAATCAAAAGAAAATCTAAAATAACACCAGATCCAGAGATAATGTGTGATTCTCCTTAAGCCTTTCCATCTCTCTCTCTTCCCTCTCTTTTCTTCTCTCTTTTTTCTGTTCTATCCTGGGTTCCCATGCTGAGTTAATATCTGAATTTGGTTGCATCCTTACTACATTCTAAATATTTTGAATTGTGGCTAGGTTTTTACTAAGACTCATGTTCAATTTCTGTTGATTCAAGGCGAGCTAAAGTGCCATCAGACCTTGGCAAGGCCACACTCTATTCTGCAAATCTAGAAGTCTCAGCACTTTGTCTAGAGAAAAACAAGTTCCTTGCTTAGTTCCTAGTACTTGTGCACCATGGCCTTGAGGGTATTTTCAAACACTCTCCATTCATGTTTGATGTTTCAGTGAAATTTGGCATCACTGCCTGCGATGTGCTATCTAGTTAGCACAGTAGATTGAATCCTGGTGTAACTAACATAATCCCTTTTCTCTGGGTCAACTCCGGCCAACTCAGCAAACCCAGTCTGAGTTTCAGTCAGGCACCAAGGTAAACCTGTCAGTGAACTTCCCCAGCTCATATCAATCTTTGTGAATGGAGACAATATTTCATTTATCTCATTCTCTCCACGTCATCTAGCACCATGGCACACACATAGCAGATGGCCAAAAAGTTGCTGAATAGCGTCACTGACTCACAATTCCCTTAAACTTCTTTGTTTTTTGCTCCTTGAGTGTGAGAAGCTTGTACTAAATAGGATATTATTGTTCCATTGACTTCTATCAACCTTTAAAATGTTAGTGACTTTTTATACAGTTGCTAAATATGTCTTCATGCCACAATATTTCAGCTTAGTAGTTAATCATCTGGTAAGTAAAACTGGAAGTCTATCTAGGGAGATGGAGTAATTACCCCATTCAATAAATAATTACCTGCTAATGTCTTATAAAATCATGTATTAATATTTCAGATTTCCTCAAACTTGAGAATGCTAGTAGAAACAACTTAAATCATCTGTCAAAAGGATGTCATCAACTGAAACATTTAATGTTTCATTCCCTGATACTGTAAATTCTCTATTTGACTTCTCTTTTTTTCTACAGGTATAAGTGCCTTTAAAGGCCAGTACTTTCATAGCCGACAAATAAGCATCCAGATATATTTAAGGACAAGAGAGTCCTGGTGGTTGGAATGGGAAATTCTGCCAGAGACATTGCTGTGGAGACCAGCCATCAGGCAAAAAAGGTAGTTAGGATGGTGCCTCAAACAAATGGTATTTGACAACATGATAAATGTTAAAAAACAGAAATGCCTACCACACACACAACAGATTGTCAAAACATTTCTTTTTTATTGAATATTCATAAATTTTAATATGAATTCCAATTGTTATCTTTCCTCCAAATCCAACTTCTCTGTCGTCTTTTCTTTCATCTTCCCAGTCATCCAACTAGATCTGCATGATATATTTTCTTTACTCAGCTCCATAAATTCTGCCAGTTTTTATTTTCTCTTATCTGCCTCTTTCTTTCCTATTACTTGCCACCACCTTCAGGAGGTTCACACCACCTCACACCAAAGCTACTGCATTGTCCTCAAAATAAAAATTGTAGAAAAATTCATATTTATTAGGGTTACTGTGACAAGCACTGCACCTAAGGCTTTTTACTGCATAACTTCAACCAATCATCAAAACAACCAACTGAGCCGGGCTCGGTGGCTCAGCCTGTAATCCCAGCACTTTGGGAGGCTGAAGTGAATGGATTGCCTGAGCCTGCGGGTTCGAGACCTGCCTGGGCAACTTGGCGAGACCTCATTCTACAATAAAATCAAAAATTAGCCGGGCATGGTAGAGCACGCCTGTAGTTCCAGCTTCTTGGAATGCTGAGGTGGAAGGATCACAGGAGCCCAGCAGATCGAGCCTGTGGTGGCCGGGAGCGTGCCACTGCACTCCAGTCTGGGTGACAGAGTGAGACTCCAACTCAAAAAAACAAAACAAAACAAAACAAAACCAACTGACTGGGTGTGATGTAATCCTAGCACTTTGGGAGGCCAAGGAAGGAGGATTGCTTGAGCCCAGGAGTTCAAAACCAGTCTAGGCAACATAGCGAGATCTCATCTCCACAAATAAAATTTTTTAAATTAACTGAGTATGGTGGTGCATGCCTGTAGTCCCAGCTACTCAGGAGGCTGAGATGGAAGGACCGCCTGAGGCCAGGAGGTCGAGGCTATGGTGAGCTGTGATTACGCTACTGCACTGCAGCCTGAACAACAGAGTGAAGTCTCAATTCAAAACACAACAACAACAACAACTGAAGTAGGTCCTATTAGTATTCCTGATTGTAGATAAGGAACCAAGGCTTAGAGAGGTTACAGAAACTGCCTAAAGTCACACCACTAGCAGCAGGTACAGCCAAACCTCAAACCCATGTCTCTTTGACTCAGATCCCATGCTCCTAACTGTCCTCTTCTACCTCCTGCCTCCAGGCTTTTCAGGATTTTGACTCCACCCTGAATCCCTTGTACCCCTGCCCATATCCATCCACCCACTCATGACAAGTCATCCAGACCCCAACCTCCAACAAACAATTCCTTGGACAAACCTGCTCTCATTATGACACTCTCATGATGAGAAACCTCTAATAACTTCCCTTACCTGAAAAATAAATAAATAAACTGCAAATGTAACAGCTCTGCACCATAGCATTATCTGTAATCTTGCTCAAATCTGCCATTTTAATGTTTACCCCCCTACTATTTCCTGCATGCCAAGTAGGTGCCCCACAGCTATTTCCTGTGCCAGTGTCTGTCACCGCTTTGCTCACCCTGTTTTTCTCACTCTGCAGAACCCTTTTCTTTCCTGCTACAATCTACTTCCACATTCCCAGATATCTCACCCCACACAAAGTGATCTCTCCCTATTCTGTATGTATGTACTATTGCATGTTGCACTCCTCAGTTGGCACATTTTAATTTTCAGTACCACTAATTACATTTTATACTATGTATCTTCTTTCCAACTATGCTATAAAATCACTGAAAGCCAGTCAGCTAACTAACATGTATTCATTGTTGGCTTTTGAAGTGCTGAATATTGTGTCAGGCACCGAATATATACAACCACAAAACAAGATCCCCACTGTCATGGAGCAAATAGTTGTGGGAAAAACAGCTAGCAAATAAGTGAATGTAAATAATTAAACCAATAGTTGAAAGAGTGAAAATAGCTTTGGGAAAAAAAAGATTAGGGACATGTAACTTTGATATTTCCTTCTGGAATTTTGAAAAAAAAAACTTGATTGAGTCATCTATTTATAAATTGATTAATTGATTTGAAGAAACCTAGCAATTTGGTGGCATCATCGAAGAGAAAGGAGGTCCTGAAACAAATAATAACAGACTCACACACTATGACCACCACATGTGGGTAAAACAGTCGTATTTTCATCTCTCTAATCACTTGGGAAATTTTTCAGTCAGAAAATGTGCTTTAGCACACATCTTGCCATGTATATATCAAGAAGGCCATGTATATATCCCCATGACTTAGAACATGACTTATATCTACCCAAAGGTCAGGTCCAATTTTGCATCATGACACAGAGAGACAGGTCAGTGCAAATATCTCATGTCAGAACAACTAATGTGTCTGTAGTTCTGGCCGTCACATTTTCAGCATTTTATATCCTGCTCCACTGCATCATAAGGCCAAACAAAATCTGTAACAGATCGGGCATGATGGCTCATAACTGTAATCCCAGCATTTCGGGAGTCCAAGGCAAGAGAACTGCTTGAATCCAGGAGTTCAAGACCAACCTGGGCAACATAGTGAGACCTTATCTCTACAAAAAAACCAAAAATTAGGCTGGCGTGGTGTGCGCCTGTAGTCCCCACTACTTGGAAGACTGAGGCGGGAGACTGAGGCAGAAGAATTGCTTAAGCCCAGAAGGTTGAGGCTGCAGTGAGCCGAGATCACTCCAACCTGGATGACAGAATGAGACCTCATTTTATATATATGGCACTGACACTGGGGCAGTGGCCACCATATCCCAGTTTTGTGGGGGAAAACAATGTGTTAAATCAGTTGTGTCACATCAGAAAAGCAACAGGCTAATTAATTTTCTTTTTTAAAAAAACTGTTGTACAGGAAGCTTCTTATTGTGTAACTTAGTGAATTCAGACAGGTGGTAAACTCAAACAGCCAGACCATGTTTTTTTTTTAAAAAATCCACTAAAGCAAATTGTAGGTTTTTTGGTTACTTTGTTTTGTTTTTTGAGTCCAGGTCTCACTCTGTCACCCAGCATGGATTGCAGTGGCATGACAACCACGGCTCACAGCAGCCTCAACCTCCTTAGGCTCAAGCGATCCTTCCCCCTCAACATCCTGAGTACCTGAGACTACAGGCACACGCCACCACGACCTGCTATTCACGTTGATTTTTGCAGAGATGAGCTCTCACTACGTTGCCCACGAACTCCTGGGCTCAGGCAATCCTCTGGTCTAGGCCTCCCAAAGTACTGGGATTACAGGCATGAGCCACAAGTTTTCAGTTTTACTGTCAGTTAAACCCATGGTTTGTGCTGAAGCCCTTTGTAGATGCCTCCCACTTGGAGCCATGCCCTGTTCTGTTCCCTACAATTCTAGTTACTATACAAAGTAACAAATGCTTGTTCATTGTCTTCTTGCAGGAGACTTTAAGCTCCTACCGCCATAGTATCTCAAGTCTGGAAGATAAATGTTTAGTAATGTGTTCTAAAGCATTTTAATACTCTGGATACTCAAACCATCATCTCAAAAGAATAACTTTAAAACAAGAGTTAGAATGAAAGCTATCTTGTCAGGGATGTATTCTGAGAGTGGCAGACTTTTCAGTGACTCTCAGTTCGTGACACTTCTAGAATTTCCAACAGGACCAGCTCTGTTCACTGTGTCAAACTGAGAGATCTTTCTGATTGCTTCCAAGTGTTCCCCAGCACCACTGGAGGGGCATGCGTGATCAGCAGAGTCTTTGACTCAGGGTACCCATGGGACATGGTGTTCATGACACGATTTCACAACATGTTCAGAAATTTCCTCCCAACTCCAACTGTGACTTGGTTGATGGCGAGAAAGATGAACAACTGGTTTGATTATGCAAATTACAGCATAGCACCAGAAGACAGGTGAATATAATGTGTCTGCCAAGGGCTATTAGGAAGAAGGTGCCTTGATCTTTTCAGTGACATATACAAACCAGACACTAACACAGCGACATGGTTCACTGTGAAAGAACACTTGATACAAAGGTACTTGAGTCATAGCTAACTGTTCTTAAGTGCTTTAAGTAAAATTATGTCCCGCGCCTTTGGGAGGCTGAGGTGAGTGGATTGCCTGAGCCCGCGGGTTCGAGACCCGCCTGGGCAGCGAGACCTCATCTCTACAATAAATCAAAAAATCAGCCGGGCGTGGTAGCGCATGCCTATAATTCTGGCTACTCGGAAGGCTGAGGCGGAAGGATCGCCGGAGCCCAGCAGGCGAGGCTGCGGTGGCCGGGAGCGGCCACTGCACTCCAGTCTGGGCGACAGAGTGAGACTCCAACTCAAAAAAAAAAAAAAAAAAAACCAAAATTATGTAATCTACCCTGTCAACAACCCTTTAAGGTAAGTATTATGATAATCATCCTTCTATTATGAGGAAACTGAGGCTTAGTAAACTTCAGTCACTTGTCCAAGCTCATTGGGAGTAAGAGAGTTTTATGACCTGGACAACTTACTTGAACCTCAGTTATAGCAAACAAAAGAGAATGATTTGTCTATGACCTTGTTGACAAAAGCAACATGCTTCATTGTGTGGGAAAAACGGAACGCCACAGTTGCCCTTCTCCATCTCTCTAATGGCAGTGTCCTTGTCAAGACAACCTTGACCTCAGTCTGTCCTTTCAGTTGTAACTGTGACTTATCCCATTAACAAGAGCCAAAAGTGTCATCTCTTAATTCATTAAGTTTATATACAGTGAAAATCTATTATGAGGTGGCATTGCAGCCTGGAGACTCACCTGCGCTCCCTCCAGATCTCACTCTGGTCCAGGAGGGATTGGCTGGCATCCTAGTCCCCATAGAGCGACATGAACTTGTGCTTTCTTCTTGATCCTCTCTTTATTGTCTCCCTTTTTCCTTCCTTGTGTTTTATCTATACTCTTTTGACTCCTCCCTCCAGGCCTCTCAAGGCTTTGACTCTTTCCAGCAGAGCTTCTGCTACCATAATTTTATCTAGCCTGGATGGTGGCTTATGAATCTAAGGAATTCGGTTTAATCCCATAAAGCTTAAAACACGTGGAAGGAGTCCAATGAATTAAAGTCCTTTCTCTCTCAGATTTCTTTCTTCCTTTACCATTTCCAAAGTTTTTTGCGTATATACTATTTCATATGCTCTTTGTCCTGCCCAGCAAACTGAGGATGGCAAGTATTAACATCCTTATTTTATAGATGAACAGGAAAAAGCCCATAGAGACTAAGGGACTTTATGACTCATCTAAGTTCTGTTAAGTATGGACATCTGAATAAGAAACCACTCTTCCCATCTCCTGCTCCAGGGTTGTGTCCACTTTCCCACATGATCTCTCCCTGCACATTTACCACAGCCCAAAATGACTCAACTCGCAAACTGTCTTGTGATCTCAATAGTATAGCCAGAAAAAGCTGGTTCTGTGCTTGTTCCTTCAAACACATGCATGTTTTTCCTATACAACTACCTCCCAGAAAGAGGGACTAGACAGAGCTGTCAGCAGTTCTCACCAGATGGAGAAGTCCCTGGTTTTCCTGGTAGCCCCTCCGTGTTCAGCTTTCTCCAGCTTGACAGGGACGGTTGAATGCTGAAGATCATCAAGAGAAACAGAACTAGAGGAAGCCCTGGCCTCTGCCCATGCTTTCAAATTCTCGTAAATGGCACACATATTTTAAATCCTTCTTGAACATTCATGAACTTCTTCCACAGAAGTAACTTACCCCAAGACTCGCAGTTTTTGTCCACCAGTTAGAGGGCCCTGGAATGAAGACAGGAAAGTGAGGAGGAGGGAGGAATGGTCATACTGTTTACCACCAGATCTCAACCTTGTTCATGCTTTTGTTTAGGATTCAGCTGAAAGAGTTTGTGCTAAATGACGAGCTCCCAGGCCGTATCATCACTGGGAAAGTGTCCATCAGGTCAAACATAAAGGAGGTGAAGGAGTACACTGTCATATTTAAAAACACTCCAAAGGAGGAGTCCATTGATATCATTATCTTCGCCACTGGATACACCTTTGCTTTCCCCTTCCTGGATGAGTCTGTAGTGAAAGTTGAGGATGGCCAGGCCTCGCCGTACAAGTATGTCTTCCCCGCCCATCTGCAGAAGCCAACCCTGGCTGTCATTGGCCTCATCAAAGCCTTGGCCTCCATGATACCCAAAGGAGAAACACAAGCTTGATGAGCTGCTCGAGTCCTGAAAGGTGCGTGTATGAGAAATGGTGCGGCGTGCGCTTTTGGTTTGCCATGTGATTTCTGGATACTGGAAATTTTGAGACTTAGTTCCCACTTAAAACAACAGAGCCCATTCTGTTGTTCACTGAATTATGCTATCATAATGATACCATTACCAGCATAAATGATAAATCAGAGGTCAAAAATATAAGCTGTGCCTACCTGATTTTTTTTTTCTTTTCTTTTTCTTTTTTTTTAATATAGAGTCTCGTGTTGTTCAGGCTAGGGTGCAGTGGCTATTCACAAATTCATTCATGGCATACTGCAGCCTCAAACTCCTGGCCTCAAGCAATCCTCCCTGCCTCAGTCTCCCAAGTAGCTGGAACTACAGGTGTGCGCCACTGTGCCCTACAACCTGTTATTTTGACTAAGACAAAATAACAGTTAACAGTTCTGCCAGTTGACTGAATCAGCTGGTTCAATTAAAATTCAAGCAATGGAATGACAAAATTCAGTCAAACCAGTTGTGAGGTTCTGAGGCACCAAACAACCAGGGAGATGACCAGACGTTTATCTTTTCAGCTGATGGCACTATTGCCAAGAGCATACCACCAGTCAGCTCAGGCCACTCAAGTTTTGCCAGAAGAATAGATGAGTAGCTGGGTGATAGAAATGAAAGGAAAGCAGTAGCAAAGTGTCTTTATCCATAAGTAAACAGCTAGACCTAAAGTTTAATTGCTTTTTTTGTTGTTTTTTATCTTATACGTGTGAATAAGTTACCACCACCAAGTGTCATGATAGAGGAAGTTATTGTAAGGAAAGAAAACAAGCACAGTGGGTAAGTTAACCACTTATATATCCTTCTTGAATTATGACTGAAGTTGATAAAACCATAGCAGAGAGTTAAGAGTCACATTGACAGACAACCCCTTTGGGTCCCCTCCCACTGTGGGAACTTTTCTGTCCTCTCAATAAATCCTGCTTCCTCACTAAAAAAAAAGAAGAAGGAGGAGGAGGAGGAGGAGGAAAAAAAGAGTCACATTGAAGAAAGAAGCATCCAAGACTTAGAGAAAAATACTAGGAGAGCCTATTTAAGAAGAGAGGAAAGAAAGGAAGACTGAGAAGTCTGAATGTCCCCAGAATCATTGCTTTGTAGCTGACTGGGGCACAGCCCAATGCTCGTGAGTTCTTTGACTCGCTACTAAAAAGAATTTCAGAGCAGCCAATATAGTTTTAAAACAGAATTTATTAGAGAGAGAGAGAAAGAGAGAAACATGCTAAGGCATGTGTGGGCATCTTGAAGAAAGACTGTGCTTTTGCTTTCATTCTTTGGAAAGTTGGAATTTTAACAAGGAAAAGCCAACATATGAAGTTTGGGAATAAATATGGATGAGAGAAATGATAGATAACATGTACCTTAAGTGCAGCAATTTTAAAACATTTCTTTTTCCTGCCACAGAACCTTTTTTAAAAGTGTAAATGTATATCAAAGTTCAAAACAATGAAGCAGGCAAAACAGTAAAGTGGATAAAACCAGAAATGTGTTGGCTGGACTGGGAGCGAGAGTGGAAGGCCAAGACCCTTCTCCACAAGCCACCTGCTTTGCATTGTCCCTGTCCCAGAGCAGGAGCCACAGAGCAGAATGGAAGCCTGTCCTATAGAGAAAGGGTTAGCTTGATCTAGCGACACCATAATCACCATGCTAAAGAGAATGGGCTTCAGATATCTGCTCCTGAGAGTTTACCTTCTCTCCACCTAAAGGGTGGCTTTCTCCCAAACAGGAGCACAGACATTTAGTGATTATTATGTTAAACCATGAAGGTGGGCTGGTTACCATTTCTATACCTTGAAGGACTTTTCTTTGATGAATTGAGGGTGTGGGGTGGATTGACAAGTCCACATTCCAGGCCACAGGGTAGTCAATAATGATGTGATAAGGAAAAACGTCTGAACGCTTCCTCTATTCTAAAACTGCTTATAAGAAACTTATCTATGCCTAACCTACACTGAATACCCTGCCTCAACTTCTGACCATGGTTATCTCACATCACAGGGGCTTTGCATTCCAAACCAAGGGCCATATAATAGATCCTCATCTGCCAAGTACACTGTTCCATACCTTCTCCATAATCAGCAGGCAAACATTTGGGGTTATCCACTCTGACACCGGATGTGTCTGCTCATTTATCCATCCAACACATCTTTATTAGCATGATTGTTTTTATTCAGATTGCTGCTTTTGCTTCTTATTTTTAAATGGCTGGGGAGGGGAGAAGATTTTGTGAGATGTGAAAGTCATATGTAATTTAAATCACATTGGCCATAAGTAAAGTTGGACTAGAACACAGCCACACTCATTCATGTGCATAATGCCAATGGCATGTCATGGTACAAGAGCAAAGGTGAGTAACTGAGATGGAAACTGTAATGCTGCCCTCAGCACCTAAGACATTAACCATCTGTCCTTCAGAGTACGTTTGCTAACCATTTCTCTATAGAAGAGGCTTGCATGCTGCTCTGCTCTGTGGCTCCTGCTCCAGGGCAGGGACAATGCAAAGCAGATGGTTTGTGGAGAAGGGTCTTGGCCCTCCACTCTCGCTCCCAGTCCAACCAACACACTTCTGATTTTATCCACTTTACTGTTTTACCTGCTTAGTTGTTTTGGGCTTTGATATACATTTCCACTTTAAAAAAGGTTCTGTGGCAGGGAAAAAAAATGTTTTAAAAGCGCTGCATTTAAGGACTGTGTCATCTGTCATTTCTGTCATTCATATACATTCCCAAACTTCACATGTTGACCTTTCCTTCTTAAAGTTCCAAATTCCAAAACAATGAAAGCATTTTAGATGTTTCTCAACCTGGGATATGACCTGATCTCCAGTATGGAACTCCAGCATAAGAGACAGTCAGCTAGAATTACTATACAATGTAAAGCCTTCCTGTTACACAGGTCAGTCAACCAGTTTCAGGCCTAACACCAGCATCACAGGGAATTTCACCCTATGGATTTTTTGTGGCTTTTCACATTATACAAATCCAATAATAACTGGATTTTAGAAATATCTTTAAATTGCAGAACATATTTTATTCTAGAAATTGCTAATCATTTCACAAAAGAACTAAAGAAATACTAGGTGTATCATGAGCATTCGGAGCACCAATTAAAAGCCGGATGTATAAAATATCTTCTTAAGGGGCTCATTTTGTTATGGTAACAAAACACTCAGCTGCTCTCCCTTGATACCAATGAATCAAAAGGGCATGGAACTGGTAGGAAGAAGTTTATTTCTGAACTTGAATCCAGGGAACAGAGCCAGACTCGAGGTCTTTCTAAAATGATACTACCCTTCGGGTTTCGCAGTTCACTTTTATAGTCTAGAGTTGTCAGTACCTATAAATTAGCCTTGTGACCAGCAGAGCATTGTATACAACTTAAGTTTATATTTATAGTACAGGAAGTTTAAAAGGCCTGAGACATCATGCATTACAAAAGTTATACAAATCACAAGACTTGCAATTACACTGATGCAAAATAATGCAAATCACAAATCTTACAAACGTTCAAACCCATGACTGCTAAGAAAGGGAGTAAATAGGGATTTACATCTTTGGAGCAGGCTGCAAGGAATTCCCTGAAGCTACTTACTGGAAGTTCATAGACTCTCAATAATATGTTCAGGAATGTGCAGGAGCAGTTGAACCCTTGCCATGCCCTTCTCTAGGGGTTGTGGCAATATGGACAGACATTAGCGGGTCTCTGTATCAATCTTTTATTTGAGAAATAGCTTGAGACCATAGGGTAGCTCTGGGCACAGAGGGGAAAACCCAGAAACCATTCCAAATGTTGCAGCAGCATTTGTTTGTTTTGGGTACTTTGTCCTAAAATTATCCTTATTTTATTTTGTTGTTGTTCCTTTCCCCCCTCCCAATCTTTCTCTCATTAAGGTTTGACTTACACTACTGCAAGGCTTTACAATCAGATTATGTCATATACATAGATGAACTCCTGACATATATCAACACAAAACCCAACCTGTTCTCCATGCTACTGACGGATCCACGCCTGGCTCTGACCATCTTCTTTGGCCTGTGCTCACCATACCAATTCCACCTGATTGGTCCAGGGAAATGGGAAGGAGCCAGAAAAGCCATCATGACTCAGTGGGACTGAACATTCAAGGTCACCAAAACTTGAGTTGTCCAAGAATCCCCATCTCCCTTTGCAAGTGTATTTAAACTCTTCAACTTTCTGACTTTGCTGGTGGCTATTTTCCTGATTTTCCTATAAGTAAGTGATTTGATAAATGGCAGATGTAGAGAGTGGATTTTCAATGTCCTGATGCCTCTATTTCAGCAGCAATGCCTTCACAGCTGTAAGCCATATCCAGACAGTGAAGGCCACCCCTCCCTTCCCTGGCTGCCCCATTTTCATAGGTCTTAACTAAAACCTCCTGTTTCACAAAGGTTGGGCTGAACTAAAATGGTTCTCTTACAGAACTGGCTGATTAAAAAGAAAAAGAAAAAAGAAACCTAGAAACTGATTGTTTCAAGTGGTCTTTTGTTCTCTTTTTAAGGGTTGGGGAAAGAAAGAAGAGAGAGTCTATGAATAAAGCTCATAAAAGGATAAGGCATTCAGCAAGTCAGTCTGAGAGTTTCCAAAGGAATATATCTGCCTGCTCATCCCCTGGGATCACACCCTATTTAAAAAAGCTAGTACTCCAGCAAGCATGCCAAAGACCCAAATGAGATCTACTTCATAGAAAACAACTAGCCCCCTGGACTGTGAGAACTGGCCTCCCACAGCCAAGGGGAGAAGATCGCCTGCAGGGACCCACCTTCATAACACTGCTAGAGGCAAATGGAGTGCCGCCTCTTAAAAGGTCAACCAGAACCAATCAGACTCCATTGGAATACACTAGAAAATAACACAGCCAAGAATCTTTTCAGAAAGAGAAAATAGGGAGGAAAAAAGGAAAGAAAAAGAGCAGCAAAAGCTAACCCCGTGTCAAAAGCAGTTTGTGACCGAACTAGACCCATCCCATCTCACGATCGCATCCAATGACGATGTAACCTGGCCAGGAGAGGTTGGCCTTCACTTTGCCTCATTGGTGTGCTTGGTTGGCAAGTTCACCCCACAGAGAGGGCCACAGGTTGAATGTGAGGGGATTCAGGAACTAGGGAGTCAGACAGGAGTGAGCTCTGTAGGTAAGCAGAGGGCTGCATCTCCACATGGGTTTGGTCTGTTTATTCCTCAATATTATTCCATTTCCTACCTTGCCTCCTGACCTATTTCACCCCTTGGCATAGAAACTTAAAATGAAAGTACCACATGTTCTCACTCATAAGTGGACTCTGAACAATTATCCTAATATTACAAGAAAGAGTTTGGCAGTAGTGGGAAACTGCCAGGGGAGGAAGGGGTCACACTTCATTAATAAAGGTACTTGATCTCAAACCAGGTGAAATGGGGACCAAAGTCAACCCCAAGCTTTTCCTGTACAATGACTGTTTATTTGTATACCTAATCCTGAATTGAATCCCACATCTTTAAAATGAAAACAAAGAAACTGATGATGAAAAGTTGCCCTGCTGATCCGATCTAGATCACTCCTGGAAATGCTCTTCTCTCTGAGGAAGCAGAGCTGGCGTTTTGGCACTCCTCACAAAGCTGGCTGTGGGGAAGCTTAGTACCAAGGTGAGATAAGCAAGGCAAACTCCCCAGGCAAAATGGCGAGCCATGAGGACACAGCTGGCACCTGAGCCTAATGGTAGCTACTAAGTGGGACTGAATATACATGCAGTCAATGATCAGACCATCCACAGCAACCGAACAACACAGAACAGTCAGGATTTGGCCAAGGGTAGCTTCTCTGATTTTTGCTCCTGTTTCTAACTCAGGACCAACCAAGAAAGCCAAATAAACTCCCAAACCAGTACCATATGACGTCCTGTTTTTGGTTAGCTTGCCTCCACCTTTCCCATGCCAACAACTGCTAATGGGGGTATACTCAAAGCCTTTTTATCACTTAAAAAAAAACTCCCCTGCCTGTCTCCGAATCTGTGCCAAACATTAGTGGCAGTGGCTGAAGTCTTGCTATCACAAGCTCTGTCTTCATTTATTTCAACAGCACAGTAACATGCACCATGTAAAGGGATAACACACCTAAAGACAATCGCAGTCATTACAATGCTGCATATTTCATGTTACTTCAAAATTAATGAAGTGCCAACCATTATCTCATTTAATCCTCACAATAATAACAATGTGGTTGAGAAGGCAATTGTACCACATAATTTAGCAAGTAAGAAAACTCAAAGGGATGTCATTGATTTGCCCAAGGTAACAGAGGTAATAAGTGGCTGAGTCAGAACAGGAGTCTCCAGAACATACTTCCAAGGCTCTTTACCATTTAAGTTTACAGTTTCCAAAGTCCGAATGACTTCAGTAGCCTCTGGCTGGGTGTGGTAGCTCACGCCTGTAATCGCAGCACTTTGGGAGGCCGAGGTAGGAGGATTGCTTGAGCCCAGAAGTTTGAGACTAGCCTGGGCAATATAACCAGACTTCATCTCTACAGAATATCAAAACAATTAGCCAAGTAGGGCAACATGAACCTATAGTCCCAGCTATTTGGGAGGTTTAGGAAGGAGGATCGCTTGAGCCCCGTGAGCCATGATCGTGCCACTACCTTCCAGTCTAGAGGGAGACCCTGCAACTTAAAAAAAAAGTCTCAGTGGTGTCATCATGAAAGTCATATTACAAAGAATGTCACTTGATGAAAGTATCTATAGGTCTCTCTCCCTTTCTCACTCTCCATACAAGTGTATGTGGACGTCTGTCTGCTGGTCTCTCTGTCATGTGTCTGTCCCACTGTGTCTGGGATTTCATGTCTTTCCCTTCATGTACATCTATATGTTTCTGAATCCATGGATCTGACCTCCACATGAATCTTTTCCCCTGTTTATCCCTTCTTCTTTTCTGACTATGACTATGCTAGGCCTACTCTACAGTCATAGTACAGAACAGACTCAATAGAAAGAAAGGTGTCCCCTTTTTGTCCCATATGTCATATTGGGAAGCAGTATCTTTGGTTAGTTCCCAGATATCTAGCAAAAGAGAAAACAAGGGGAACACCTTGGCACGGCTCACTCTGCTTCTTGCACACCACTGAAATCAGAAGAGCATCTGAGGCACTTCACTTCAAGGGTGATTTTACATCTTCCAAGATTCTTTTTAATGTCTACAATGATACCTCCTGCTGGATCAGTCTTGTGTCTATCTTCTCATACACCAATGCTCTGGATCTTTCAATATGTCCCTCTGTGAGAGATGCTTAGAGAACCAAGCCCAGTGCTTAGGAGCGTGGGCTCTGCCACTTACTAGCCGTGTGACCTTGAGTGAGTCATTTACTTTTCCTAAGCCATAGTTTTCCCTTCTATAACATGGAAGTTATGACACCCTACATCATAAGGGTGTTATAAGGATTAAATGGCATGGTCCAAATAAACTACTTAGCACAAGTACTGTACAAGGTAAGAGTTCAATAAATTATCACTATCATTAACAAGCAGGATGCGTGTCCCCATTGCTTGCTTTATTTTTTCTAAACCATAGGCCTTGCTCCTCATGGGGCATTTCCACCAGACTATGGCATGAGCTTCTCAAAAGCAGTATGTCCAGAGTTAACATCATTACCTTCCCCAGCAGCTCCACTACCCACAGCTGGTGTCACCCTCCTCTCCTTTGCAGTGTATTTCATTCAATAATCATGCACTGTCTAAGCACATCCTATGGAGTTACCTGATTTTTATTCTCTGGCAATAGAATGAATAACTCAGTAAATTATAGATAACTAATAGCCATGCCAAATAATTCTTATCTATAGACATGTAGATTTTGTCCAGTAGAGGTTTAATTGGCTTCCCTTCTCCACTGTGGAAAAATCCAGTTTTGTTTTTATTTGCATATTCATTTAAATATTATTGATCTGTGTGTCTGTTCTTCAGATTTTCTTCTGAATTGGTTGTAACACCTTACCAGTTCTCTTTAATAACAAACTGACTAAAATCTTTAACATGTGTCCATTTTATGATGAGAGTCAAAATTTTACCTTTTTTGAAAATTATCTTTTAACATCTCTATTAAGGAATAACAACATTTATTTATTAATAAGTATTTTTAAATTTATCCATTTTTCCACAGAATCACAACATACGCTTGACCCTCTGACCCTCATACCTCATTTCTCACAGTCAATAAGCCCTAGCAACTGAATTTTTCTGATGTGGAGCAAAGATCACTGCAGTATTACGTGTAAGCATGGGCTGTAGAGTCCAACCATGAGAGCTGACACATGACACTTCATGACACAACCTTCATGACACATGGCTTCATGACATAACCTCGGAGTTAGTTATTTCATCTCTTCTAGTTTTAGTTCCTGCATCTGCAAAATATGGAAACAATTCTTTAGCACAGTTCTAAGGGGGAATAAGTGAAGATAACCCATGTAAAGTGTTTAGCCCAGTGCCTGACATATAGTGGGTGCTTCACCTAAAGGTGCTCATCTAAAGGTAATATTGATAATCTCACAGACTCGTCTGTCCCTTACCCTTCCCACTTCTTTAATGACTAGTTCAGACCCCTTTAATTTTCTTTCTAGGTTATTGTCACCTGACTTCTCTGGTCCTCCCAGCCCCCATCAGTTCCTCTCCACTCCTGTGTCCACATTCCCCCAGAATAATTTGTGGGTGCTGCTATTCTCTGTAATGGTCATTGAAGAGGACTTAAATAGCTTCTCAAGTCCTCTTAAGCCCAGTGTCCTTGTCTCAGTCACTGCTTCCCAATTTAGAAAGTTTCATGTGGAAGCTGTAGACAACAGAGAAAATCATCTCCCTTTAGGATTGTCCTGTTTCTGATAAAATACATTATCATTTTAAAATAGTCTAACTTGAGAACATTTTGATTAAAAACAAAAACGTCTGCAATTAATTCTTTCTTTGCAAAAAAAAAAGAGCTTGATTAGACATTCTACAGTAGATATAGAAATTTTAAGACAAAAGGGAAACTACCGTGAGATCAGTTTTGTAACAACAAGATAAGATTATTGAGCAAATTTTCCTTCAGAGTAAAAATTATACTACTTAGCTATACAACTTTTTAAAATTTCAGACATCTGTTTTCTTAGATGTGTAAGCAGTGTCATTCTTTATAAAGAGTGTCATTCTTATAAGGAGTGAGTGGAGCATGAGGTTAGGGACAGAAACTAAGCTTAAATGTCAGCAGCAAAG